TTATTTCCGCTTCAGAGAAGTTTCTCTTTAAGTCTTTAGCCCATTTGTTAATCAGGCAGTGGTTTCTTTGAGGATTTGTTGTAGGGGGATTTAATTTTTTGAGTTCTAAGTATATTTTATTTATTTATATTTATTTATTTATTTGTCAGTCATAGGGCTTGAACTCTGGGCCTGGGGGCTGTCTCTCAGCTCTTCAGCTTAAGGTGAACACTCTACCGCTTGAGCCACAGTGCCACTTCCGGTTTTCTAGTGGTTTATTGGAGATAGGAGTCTCACAGACTTTCCTGCCTGGGCTGGCTTTGAACTTCAGTCCTCAGAGCTCAGCCTCCTGAGTAGCTAGGATTACACCGGAGTCCAGCCTAAGTATATTTTAGATATGAGGCCCTTGTCTGTAGTATGGCTAGTTAAGTTCTCCCAATCTGTGGGCTTTCTATTGATCTTGTTAGCTATGTCCTTTGTCATGCATAGATCTTTTAGATCTTTTAAACGATAGAAATAGTTATTTTTCAACTGGGCTGTATAGTTCAGTAGTCAGTGCTCTAATTCTGATTACTTCAGATTGCACATGTAATATATCTTTCCTCATTGCTTTTTAAGCAAGGAGTTTTCATTTTAACATGTCCATTTATATGTTACCCTCTTCCTTGACTCCTTTCCAATCCAATGTCATCAAGTTTGTATGTCCCATTTTTATTCATGTACATGAATTATTTTGGGTATATTTGTCTTCTTCACCCTCTCCATTCATCTGTACCCCTTCTAATACTGCCTACACCTCAGAGAAGACATTTTGGTGTGCTATTTTATTTATCTGTATCTTGATTTTATTTTGTTAAAATAGGTATAGTAGATAGTAACAGTATTTTTGGAGTTAGCATTTAGGAAAGTATGTGGCATAGGGAAATACTCAGAACATGTTTTTGATGAAATTAATGTATTGTTAAAGCTCATAGAACTTATCAACTTTACAGACCATGATAAAGACAATTTTTACTATGAAGGTTAGAATGTGTTTGTGACTTTAACTAAGTATTACTATCTCACAATACTGTGAAATTTGTGAAATTTATGTAATCACTTAATCACAATAAAAATTGCTATGAAAACTAATGTTCTATTAACTATGCTTAAGTTAATATTAATCTTATTTAATACAAGACAGAAGTTCATATTTCAATTAATATAATCTTTTTAATTGAGAAAACAGAGAGTGAAAGAATTTAAGTGACTTTTCCATTCCAAGGCTATCACTTAGTAAATGATAAATCTTAAGACTAACCTAAATTTTCTAACTCTGTGTTTAGTGTCCCTGTGTAATAAATACACTGCCTTCTACAACAGATGGCTTAGTAAACATTTTTGAATAGTAGTTGAAAGAACCAACTTAATTGAGGAATCTCCTTAAGGATTCTGAATACAATTGAAGTAAAGAAATGAAGATGAAAGTCTTTGGTCTTAATTAGTTCATGTTTGTTCTTACACATCAATGTAAAATTTTCAATATATGTATTTAACTGGAGGTAACTGTTCTGGTTCTGTAAAGAGAAGTAAATCTGGCTTTTCAGACCAAATTTTAATGAGAACAGATGAATGTGACTCTAAATTAATTGGTATGGCTTTGGAGGATTATTTTATGGTCTTGGATCACTGCCTGATCCACCCTAGAAGCCAAAGAAGGTTCCTGCTGAAAGAGCCTTAGAGGTATGTTCTTCCATATTCTGATTTTCCAGATGAGACTCAGAAGGGGAAATAACTTATTGTCCCACACTAAGTCACTTGAACTGAAATCCAAGTTTCTGATTTCATGAATAGTTTTCTGTCTCTTATAGAACAACCAATACTCAGAAAAACACTTGACATGCCAAAAGGTCTAGCAAAATAAGTGATTTAAAACTTCATTAAATATGTTTGAAGTGTAAAGCCCAGGGTTCTTTTTGATGCAAATATACTAGAGCTTATTTTAAAACAAGATATTACTGTTATTTTTCTAAAATATGTTTATTATCTTTAAGTAGTTGAACAAAGGAGTTGTCATTCAACAAAGCAGTTTATGAAATCAATGGGTCTTAAGCAATGTCACACTTTTCAAGATTCTCACCCATCTTCCCAAACCACCCCTTCCCTCACTTTTGTTAACTTTTAGATTACATATTGAATTTTGTGGCCATTTAACAAAGCTATTAATGTGTACAATGCTTCTTGATCTGTGTCATCACTTCAACAGATTTATCCCTCATTTGAAATACCCTTTTCATTATTTTTTCAAATCTGTGGTCTATACAAGGAATTCTTACCTGCCTTCATACTTTCTACATTCTACATTCATACATTCTACCTCCTTCATACTTTCATTCTACTACCCCCTTCTCTTGATCCCCACCCACCTCCTCTCTTGCAAGAACCCATTTTCTGGTACTTATTTTGTTGGGCTTTGACTTAAGTCTTTCTACAGAATTATACCATTTCAGCTCTCCATAGAGTCTTCTATTATACTTTAGTTGTAAAGTTTGCTTTCAACATAGTGTCTTGTACATCTCATTGTTACTATGGGTCATCCTATATCCTTATTTCAGCATTTTGTTTTTTCCCTTCCCCCCCCCCCCCGCAAATTAGAAAAAAGTATATACAAGATTCAGGGCACCAGAATGAAATACAGTGAAAACAGGGGTTATACCATGGGGGAAGAACATACAAAAGAAACAAAAAAAAACACATGGCATATTATAAGTACATTAAAAACAATAGCAAGAAAGATAAAACCACTTGTGTCCCTATCTTGGGATTTATTTCACTTAGCATCATCTTATATGGTCTTATATGCTTGTCCTAGACATAATTATTTCAAATAAGGAAAACCATGGGACCTATGTTTCTTTGGGCCTGGCTTGCTTCACTTAATATAATTTTTCTAAGTCTTTCGATTTTCTAACATTATTTACCATAGCTAAGATATGGAACCAACCCAGATGCCCCTCAGTAGATGAATGGATCAAGAAAATATGCTCTATCTATCTATCTATCTATCTATCTATCTATCTATCTATCTATCTATCTAGATATATGAATTCTATGTCTCCATCTGTGGGGTACATAGACAGCAAAGATGGTGCTGAGAGGGAGTTGAGTGGGCAGAGCCCGGTTTGTTTATGTTCATTGTGTAAACAGCTGCTGGAAGTTTAGATGCATGATAGGGTGTGACCTTTAGAGTGATTGGTTGGTTCTTTTTCCTCCTCATGTCTCTTTTGCTTTAAAAAGTGCTTGCTGTGTGTTAAGACTCCTGCTGTGTCTGATTGTCTCCCAGGTTAAGGGAGGCTGGGGAATGGGCTAGCAGCACACTAACCTTTCCTTGGACCAGGTCTGTCTTTTGTGGGACAGATGAAGACCCGACATCCATCTGAAAGAATGACACTATGATTAGTTTTTTGAGGACCCTCCCTATTGCTTTCCAGAGTAGTTGAACAATTACTTTGGAAACATACAAGTAATGAAGTTTTAAATCACTTATTTAGCTAGATCTATTGGCATGTCAAGTGTTTTTCTGAGCATCAGTTGTTCTATAAGATACAGAAAACTATGCATAGGATCAGAATACTGGATTTCAGGTCAATCACTGAAACATTCAACATTACACTCCACCAATAATATGATTTCCCTTTTGGCCACATCCACACCAAGCATTTGTTACTGTTAGTTTTCTTTTTTTTTTTTTTGCCATTCTAATTGGGGTGAAGTGGAATCTCAGTGTTTTGATTTGTATTTTCTTTATGGCTAGAGATGTTGAACATTTCTTCATGTGTCTATTGGCCATTTTTACTTCCTGTTCTGAGAAAAAGTAAAAGTTTAAGTCTCTAGTCCATCAAATAATTGGGTTATTGCTTCTTTGAGGGTTTATTTGTTGAGAGTTTAATTTTTTGAGCTCTAAGTATATTTTAGATATTAGGCCCTTGCTGATGTACAGCTGGTAAAACACTTCTCTCATTCTATGGCCTTTCTATTTAGCCTGTTAGCTATGTCCTTTGTTATGTAGAAACTTTTAAGTTTGTTGCAATCCTATTTATCAAATCTTTCTTTGATTTGTTGTGATTCTGGATCTTTACTTAGAAAGTTTCTACCCATGCCTAGAATCCCTAGTGTTTCTCCTAGTCCTTTCTGTAATAGTTTGCTGTGTTCTTTAGAAGCAATACAGGGCCAACTTTTCAATCAGTTGCTTTGATACTGTCTGTCATCATATTGATTCTTCTTTAGCTGTTACCTTTTTTGACAATTTTCTTGATTCTCTGCTTTAAAAAAATTCCATCTTGCTTTTAACATTTTGAATAACTCACTGGTTATTAAAGTATTGTAAAGGACAGACAAATAGAAGTGTCACTTATGTGTATACATGTTAAAAACCTTGCAGTTAATACTGGTAATGGAGAAGTTGATGATTAGTTGTAAATTTATTATTCATATGTAGCTAGTACTTCAATTTTGTTTAAAACATTTTCTTACATATTGTTAATCATGTTTAATACATGATTTAATATTGTTAATCATGTTTAATACAAATTTGGTATAGAATAAGCATGGTATAAACCATTTAGATTCTTTGTAAGGGTTCAACAAAGCACAATATGTTGGGCACAGTTTATGTAACATTGACCTTAATATAAAATACATATGGAGTTATTTTTCTCATTTTTCTAATTAGCAAACTAAATTTATGATTTTTTCTTGTTTCTTAGGGGACTTACTACAGGCTTAATGTAGTGTTCCATATTTTAAATAGGCTTATTCCACAAAGAGTCTATCATAAAGTTTAGGCTGAGGTAGACTAATTTAAAACCTTCACTGCTATGGGCTGCATCTGGACAGAGTTTTTGGCCATTACAAACTATAAATATTGACTAGTATTGAATGATGGAGAATGTGAATATCAGAACTGACAAGAGTCAAATATATATACAACTGACCTGCATAAACTTCTATTGAAACATAGTTCTCTTAATTTTTGTCACCAGGTAACCTTGGCCGGGTGGACCAGGTCTCTGAATTTGAATATGATCTATTCATTAGGCCTGATACCTGTAACCCACGCTTTCGAGTCTGGTTCAACTTTACTGTGGAAAATGTGAAAGAATCACAGGTAAGTAATATAGTAAGAACCATCAGTGTGGTTTTGGTAAGAAGAAATTCCTTTTACTCTTTTAGTAATGGCAAAATAATGACTATAGTAGAATATATTTATTAAATCTATAGCAGTGAAAGAGTTTGTTTCACGAGATACAGTAAAATGGGTAAGCTATGCTTATTTTGCTAATTGTTATTAAATAATATATTTATATAAAGTGTACTTTATTGATTGAGCCATTATTGATTGAGGGACACTATGAAGGAAAGATTGGAAATGACTTGCTCTTATGGTTATATGGGTACTGTTCTCTATTATCTCTTCTTTATAAAGAATTGTGAGAGACATTGGACACATGCTGTAGTTTCAGAAAAAGTTTTCCTCTCTTGTGCAACAGGTTGTTTTAAAGACAATGTGGATGCTATAGCTCTTGTGTTTTTCCTTTATTTGGTCTGCTTGGAAAAATCAGAGGCTATTTTATAGCCCTCTTTCATGAATTCTGGAATACTGTTTTTGTTACTGCTTCTGTGTATTAACTTCCAATTTTTTTTGAATTATTATTAGTCTGATTTTAACCTTGATTTCTTTAGCTCCATTTTCTAATAGTGTTTTTATAACCACTTTCAATTTTTTTCATGAGAGTATGCTAATGAAGATAGGGAGATAAAATATATATATATATACGTATATATATATATACGTATATATATACGTATATATATACGTATATATATATATACGTATATATATATATTTTATCTCCCTATCTTCATTAGCATACTCTCATGATAAAGTCTAATTCTCAGAAATCAGGTACCATTCTGTTACTTTTGAGACAAGTGGTCAGGGAAGACTGTATAAGCTTTGTTCACATCGTGATTTTAGAATTCTTTTAAAGTAGACAAAAGTATAGCCCTTATAACCCAACATCTTCCATCAAGTATATCATATTCTGTCCAGTATATTTAGGAGACATTGAGGAATTTGTTTTATTTTACTCTTGAGTCAAACTTTCCTGCTTGCTTTTCCTTGTAATTGATTGCTTCTCTCCATTCTTCTCAGCTTAACTTGAATGATGTGTCAGGCATTATTAATATCGGGAATTTAGGGACTCTTAGTCTTCACTGATACAGTTTTGTTCCTAGCATGCTGCTTTCAGCAAAAGAGAAGTAGAATCATTTCACAATTCTTAATTGTTTTAATTCTCTAAATACCCATGACATACGACTGGAGAGTATATTGTATTTATTGAAGTTTAGGGGATAACTGGAAGAAATCAAATGCAAGAGATCCTTGACTATTGCTAGAATTTTAAGGCAAAAGTAGAAACAAAAGAGTTAAACCACATACAGAAACCCCTCATGGATAACTTTAGTTTCTAGCTTTGCTTGTTGGATTTACCTATTCTTTCATGACAAAGTTCCTTCTATTTTTTGCAATAACAAAGTTATACTCCTTTTACTTTTTAGATATTACTTAGGAAAACCCACATTGTGGCAATTTATCTGCGCCCTAGGATTGTTCTCTTGTCCAACAGAAGCACCAACAATCCTCTAATTGTCTTTTTTGTGTTTGTTACGGAGTCTAGATTATAATTTGCAGCAGAAAGCTTTAGCTATTTGTACTGAGTCTTGGCATTTCAAATATGCAGCCCTCCCAAGATCTCTTGCTGTCATGAGGTAAACATACACTCTCTCATTCTTTTGTTAGTATCCCCATCTAATGCTATCAATTTGTGGTTGTCACATACACAGGCCTTTGTAAAACAAATGATTCTAAAGTACAGGCAAGTCATATGAATGAAGGGCAACTTTTTCTTAAAAAGTAATATAATCTTACATGACTTATAAATTCATAAAAAGGATTACTTTTACATTTCTGCATATTGTATGTATATCCTTCAGCTTGCCTACTCCTCCTCCACCTCAATCCACTAACTCCTAGGAAATGAGGCTGATTACTTTTAACAACAGTATCTTCTAATCTTCATGACAGTCTTTGCTAAATAGAAATTTAGCACAAGTTTTGAAATTAAACTATTTCTTTAATTTTGTGTCAAATTAATTCCTGGCCTAGATTTTTAAATCCCTTTAGGCTTTCTAAAAATTTTACTTATAAGAAGAGTTAAAGATGAGGTCAGAACATTAGGAAAAATGTGTTCCTCTAGTTGCACTGCTTGGGAGAGACTTGGACAAGTTCCTCATGGATTCAAAGTTCTCATTTGCTTTTTCGAGTTTGCTTAAAGAAATATCCTATTTAAAATACCAGAGGCCACATATTGGAACTTTACCATTATGTGTGAAAATTATAAGTCTCTATGGCCATCTTGTCTATCCATTAAGTAAACAAGTAATATGACTGTGTTCCAATGTATTATTCCAATAAAAAATTGGGTATGTTTTATGAATGTTTATCTTAAAGTTGTTGGAACTAATATTTTATCTGTCTCTGGATGCTGTCTACATTTCCAGTACTATTCTACCTGTGTTGCAATTAGTAATGTTTATCTGGTTTCTGAAGCCTGATGCTTTATCAGCTTCTTTTGGTAGGCCACTGCCTCATCACTATAATCATATTACACAGTTATGGAAATCTGTCTAAAGAAAGCATAAAGATCTACTGAAAGATACAACATATATCCCTCACAGGATATTTGTTTTCATGGTTGTCTACATGAAATGGAATTGCTTACTATTAAGTTTGACTTGTGAGGTCCGTTTTTATAACGTCTCCTCTTATAATCTTTTCTATCTCTTTCCAATTTCCGCTAAAATGAGAGCTGCATGAATGCAATCTAGTCAAGAACCTTATTTATGTCTTGGTACTACCAGACAAAAATTATTAGTTATCACAGGCTGACTACATTAAATCAGTGTTAAAAATTGAAGGACCAGATATACTGTATATACAGGTCTAGCTTTGAAGTTATTTTTCCTGATTTTTTTAAGAAAGAGATAAAAGTTTGGAACATGGTTATATCTGGATTGATATATTAACCTTCTCAAAGCAGTTGCTAGATAGTACATTTGCAGGAACTAATGAAACTAAATGTCCTAATACTAATACCTATGTGAAAAAGTAATTTTCTCTCTGAAAAATTTATGTTAAGTATTCTTATATGAAAGTGTATTACTGAGAAGTAGAATACTTGTGTGATGTGGAAGCAAATCTTTCCATTTAAATACTCATGATAAAATTTTAACCAATAAGGAAATAAAATGGTATTCTTTGACTATTTAAATTGTATATTTGCTCTATTATATTCCTTTTTATCCCCTTGAATTTATATTTCCTTTTCCTAATTACAAAAATAGTTAATAATTAATGCAGTAATTTTGAAAAATACATATAATTGCTAGAATCAGAGAAATATGACACACATACAAAAATACCAACCTACTAGATAAAAGTTGATGCCATTAACTTTTGGTATTTTATAAGCTTATTAATTTGAAGCATAACTAAATATATACACATACTTGCTTCTAAGAACATAAGCATTATCACGGACAATTTTTTATCACTACAAAATTGATAAACATTGTTATCTAATAACTACTTATAATAAGGTCATTCCCTTGGTCTTGGTATAAAGATTGTTTTCTATTGTATATGTTATAAGTAACACTGAAGTGAACATCTTTATATAGAAAAAGTTACTCAGATTTGATCTTGCCTCATTTGGAAAAATGTTCCTGATGTTACTGTTGTGCAAAATATATGCACATTTTAGAAAACTTTTCTGCATATTTCAAAATTATTGTTGAAGTGTTTATGCCATTTTCTTTTCAGCAGTGAATGAGATTCCTTTTCTTGACTTTCTTGCTTTGAATTATTTTATGAACTCAGATGTTCACAAGTCCAGAGTAATTTGTTTCTTTTTCCTCACTGTGAAACTTTATAGATAAATGGGTTATGATGCAATGTCTCAGTTCTCTAGTCACAAAGAGATTAATTGCATTCTAGCAATAACAAGAGACACTAAAGAGACCCATTTATTATTTTTGACTTTTTTCTTCAATTCATCAATCTTGTTTTATATGGGCATGCCAACAGATTGTCCTCTGAGTTATGAAAAGAAGAATGTTATTTCTTGTGGTAGACATGATGGCATGAACTTATAGCCCCAGTGACTTGGGAGGATGGGAGATTGGTTGAGTTTAGGAGGTATGCACCAGCCTGGGCAATAGAGTAAGACACTATTTCTTTTTTTTTTTAATTTTATTTTATTTTATTTGTGAACAAACTGTACAGAGGGGTTACAATTGCTTGGGCAGGATAATGC